GAAGTCCAGAATGAATCTTGGGCAGCCGGATCCAGATGCTTAGAAAATGCTGTCACCTTGCTTGTGTTTTCTCTCTGTCTCTGTCTGTCTGTCTGTCTGTCTGTCTGTCTGTCTGTCTGTCTCTCTCTCTCTCTCTCTCTCTCTCTCTGGTCACCCACCCATTTTTCTTTCTTTTTTTTTTATTTCTGGTACCAAAGATCAAACTCAGGACCTTGTTCTTGCCAGGCAGACACTGTACCACTGAGCTATCTCCCTGGCTGCGCCCTAGTTTATTTGAGACAAGGCCTTGCTCGCTCTAATTCAGGCTGGACTTGAACTCACTGTAGCCCAGGCTGGCCTCCAGCTTCCAGCAATCCTCCTGCCTCAGCCTCAGTGCTAGCACTACAGGCATGTGCCACCACACCCAGCTTGCTGATTCTCTTGTGTGGGGTATATACTAACTTTCTTCCTTCCCTTCAAATCTAAGAAATTTCTCGGCAGGAGTTTGGTAGATGTCCCACTCCTGAGCCAGTGGTCATCTGGGGGTGGAAGGTTATAGGAGCAAAGGGTGTGGTTCTGTAGCTAAGTCTTGGGGCCCCTGGCAACCTTCCAAAGCATAAGCACTGTGAATGGGTGCAACATGCTTCCCCAGGGCGCTGTTTTGGACGGGGAGACAGGTCCTGAGCAGATACTGAAGTCTAGTGTACCAGTGCGGCGCCCTGCCCACCAGGTTACCTGAGACCACCCATTTATTCCGCTTGCAAAAAATCACAGCCCTACCCTCAGATGGCATGCAGGCAGCAAGGGGGCAAAGTGCACCACAGAGCAGGTGGTCCATTCCTGGGTCTGGTCATCACGCTCCATGGCTGCTGGTGGGACTTATGGGAAATGAGGCAGAAACCAAGCAGAGTGGCATGATGGGATATGTGGTGTGGGCAGACAAGTGGAGTGGGGGAGACGTCCTGCCAGGCAGCCGGGTGGGGGCTCTGTGGACTCCAGAAGTCTGTGCCTGTGCGCCAGGCCTGCTCGGCCCTTCTGAAGCTTTATGTGTGTGCCACCAGGCCCTCTGACCATCGCATGGGGTGTCTGTGATGGCCCTAACAAGATTGTCCACTCTTCCAAGACACAGAGCCCTGCA